ACAGATCTTAAGTGTACAACTAGATGAATTGTACTTATGTGTCCACCACCCCTGTAACCACTTCTCAGACCAAGAGGTAGAACATTTCTCCTCCAGCCACTCCCCCTTCCCACAGGATAATTTGCATAGTGTTAACATTTTTAAATTTTTAAATAATTGGGAGACTTCATATAAAAATCCAGAATTCCAACTTCTCTTCAAACATTCGAAGATCGGTCAGCACAGGACCTACTTTCTCTTTGACCGCAATTTACTGTAGCTGAGAAACAGCTGTCCAAAGTTTTGGCATGTGTTCTACAGTTTGCCTGCAGTCTTCACCCCTCCTCCTTCTATTCCTGACCTTGAAACCAATTGCCAGTTGCCATTTATAATTTCATTTGAATTGTTCTTCTTATGATGAGGTCATATTTATCTCTTGCATTATCTTTATAAAACGGAAATGTGAATGGTAGATGGAAAAGGTTACATGTTTTATACTTAGTCTACTTCATTCATTTGTATTTCTGGCCTTTTAGGTATTTGTTAGCCACCCTAATTCTACACAGTTGTGTTTAAAATCTGCACAGTATTTTGTTGTATAAATGTATCATTTATTTACCCAGTCTTCTACTATGGAGCATATAAGTACTTTCTGGGTTTTTGCTATTGTAAAAAACAACTTATAAGTGAATCTTTGTACACATCATTTTTTATTAGGATAAAATTTTAGAAGTGGGGTTTCTGGTTCAAAATATACTTTCATTTTTAAGACTTCAGATGCATATTGCCAGATTGCTTGGTGGTAGTATAAATTGATGTAATCTTCTGGAGAGCAGCGTATGGGAGTGTTCACTTTCCTACATCTAAGCCAACACGAGGAATTGTAACTTAAAAGAAGTTTTGCTAATATAGTTAGTACAAACAAAAAATGGGAATTCTGACTAAGAAGTTTTTCATCTTATCTACATAAATAAGAATTGTACTTTTTTAAAAAGATATATAGGAATATTACTTAATATAACATTATAGCCTACATTTATATCTTCAGCCAAATCATGTATCATGTATCTTGTATATGAAGTGATGCAAATACCTCAGTAGAACTTGGGAAGCCTTTAACCTTGATCCTTACATATGCCCATATTATTTATAATTATTATTATTAATCTCTCTACCACGTTCTGTATCTGTGCTTGGGAATAAATATTGCATAATCCTTCTGTTTTGAAGCATGTACAACTAATTTCTTACACATTCGTTTTATATTTGCTTTCATATTTTAAATTAGATGCTGTTTTTTATATAATTTGCTTTTTAAGGAGATGCCTACATAGAAAAGTGCCAGCGGCTGGACTAAATGTTTCACTGCTGAACTAGTTCCTCAGGTATCCTGGCTCTGGAGATTGCTATGGGAGATTGGTTGACTGTTACAGATCCGAATCTGTCTTCAGGTAACCAAACCTAAAATAATTGCAAACTAATGCAGTAATTGTAAAGGTTAATTTTTTCAACAAAACTTTAAAATAATTACTACAAATATTGATGTGACTAGAGAGAGACATAAATAGTTGTAAAATAAAGGAGAGCTAAGAATGTGCCATAATTAGTGGGGTTAAATGGTTTGGATGGGTAATAGGTTACTTGGCCGCTATTATTTTTGAGGGAAATGAAGTTGAAATATATTCAGTGGCTACTTCAACCTGTTTCTCTGATTTCTTCCTTTAATCACATAAACTATATGTGGCATAGACAAGTGGGTTTTGTTCTGTTCTTTGTATAAACCTAAAGTACTATAAGTTAAGGTAGTATATTGCCACTTAACATGCCTCCTAGGAGCAGCACTTTATAGTTGTATCTTTTGGAGAAAAGTGTATAGTTTTCATATAAAAATGAAATCTTTGTCCCAATTTGAAAATTACTTTATATGTATATATATAAATATAATTTAAAATCTTCAGTAATGGGTTGGTTAGCTTTACATGTATTTTTATAAATTATTTATGTAAACCCTTTTATTGATTTTTTTCAGAAAGCAAAAATATCTCTCATAAATATAATTTAAAATCTTCAGTAATGGGTTGGTTAGCTTTACATGTATTTTTATAAATTACTTATGTAAACCCTTTTATTGATTTTTTTCAGAAAGCAAAAATATCTCTCAATATACCTCAGAAACAAAGATGTCTCCATCAAGTTTATACTCACAGCAAGTGCTATGTTCTTCAATACCTTTATCAAAAAATGTGCACAGCTTTTTCAGTGCCTTCTGCACAGAAGAGAATATTGAACAAAGTATTTCATACCTTGATCAGGTAACATGTTTTTTGAAAGAAGCAATAGCATAAATCATGTTATATAATGAAACATATCAAAGTTAGGAGAAAAACATTTGTCAAGCATAAGTATATTGTTATGTAGTGGCCTGAGACTTAGATTTGCAGAGAACCTTGGTGATCATCTACTCTCCATAGTTAACTTGTTTGTTTAGAGCAGCTTGGCCTCCCTATCACCCCAGGGAATCCTGCTGAGAGTCCTGCCCTCCTTTTATTGATACAGAAATGTAAGTGCCATGTTCCAGGGCACAGGTGATTGTAGAACAGAGGCTAAAAGAGCCTAGTTCTCTATAATTCTTTGTCCTTTGGGATATTTACTATTTTCTTATCCTGAGATATCAGCATAGTCTTCAATTTTTCTTAGAAAAGATTTCTTTTTTATTTCTTTACTAAGTTGTTAGATAACCAACTTTTTAAAAAATTGACTTATTTACTTTTAAAATTTTTAATTGATAAAAATTATAAATATCATGTACAAGATCTTTTGAAATATGTTTACACTGTGCAATGGCTCAATTGAGCTAATTAACATTTGTGTTACCTCTTTTTTGTGTGGTAAGAACATTTAAAATTTACTCTTTTAGCAATTTTCAAGAATGTAATACATTGTTATTAGCTGTAGTCCACAATATATTTGTTGCACAATAGATCTCTTGTACAGTAGATCTCTTGAACTTATTTCTCCCATCTGACTGAAACTTTATATCCTTTGACCAACATCTCCCCACATAACCAACTTTTAAGAAAACATTTTCTCCTACCAGGAACTCACTACCTTCGGTTTTCCTTCATTATATGAAGAATCCAAAGGTAAAGAGACAAAGAGAGAATTAAATATAGTTGCTGTTTTAAACTGTATGAATGAGCTACTTGTACTTCAGCGGAAGAACCTTATAGCTCAGGAAAATGTGGAAACACAGAATCTGAAACTGGGAAGTGATATGGATCATCTACAGAACTGCTATGCAAAACTTAAGGTAGAAATTGTGTATCAATCTGTATTTCAATGCCATCTTATATAATTCAGTACTATAAATTTTCATTGGATTTATCAGACATATTTTAGGGTTAATTTTTTATTTTTGGTGGCTGGCCGGTACAGGGATGTTGGTGTTATAAGGCTGCACTCTAATCAACTGAGCTAAGTGGCCAGCCCTAGGGTTAATTTTTAAAAGCTCTAGGTTTTGGTTTTTTTTTTAACTGGTAAGGGAAAGTGAACTTAATTTGTGCAAGTCAGTCATACTGCTTTCTAATATCTATATTGAAGGCATTAATTTTATGAACTGTTTAGTGACTTGCCAAATCTATAGAAAGTTAGATTAGGAAATATTTATGTCTGAGGAAAATAAAATAAGGATTAACCCACACCATCTAATCTTTCTTAATAAAGTAGGTACTTAATTTAAAATAGTCTTATTGCGAGAGGCTGCATCAGTTAATTCCAAGAAAAATATTCTTGAAGCATCTGTGCTGAAGGAGCTAAAGCTCAATAATGAAGCCAGGCCAGATAACTTCTAACTCTCAGAAGTCCCTGGGGCTCTAGAAAAGACCATAGAAAAATGTTTTGGAAATTTGTTTGTTTCTCTGAAAAAAAGGAAATATTTTTCACAGGGCCATTAAAATGTAGAACATTTGTTGTTGATTTCTGGTTTTCTTCCTTTACTTTCTTTTGTGTTTTCCTTTTTTAAAATATTTGTGGAGAAGGAACGAGGTGTTCAAAAATCATGGTGTAGTAGGGACTTATATTATGGTTGTATATTATTAAGAATGTCTTATAATCAATCTAAGCCAAATTTTTTTCTAAATATACTAGTCTGTATTGGGTTCCCTTATTTGTAAAAAGCAAAGCCTTTGCATTTGCATACTCTCAGAAAATGAACTTTTTGTTTTTCATCTGTTGGTCCGTGCTTCTTTACTTTTCCTTATTTTTCTTCCTGTATATCCTCTCCCCACCCATCCCCTCCAAGAATATGTAACAACAATGAAAAACAAACACAATAACCTGCTCAGAATCTTGAATCTCTGAGCTCTGTGAGAGAATAGTAGGATCTCTCTGTATAATATTTGAGTATCTTCTAGTAGGGAGTATGCTATAAATGAGTGGCATAGAGTTGGTCTATATGTGAACACTGGAAACATTTGGGGCTTGATTTAGAGAAGCATCTTAGCTCCTCAGTAACACCTGCCCCTATCAGCCTGTCACTGTCTAATGCTATCTTATGTTGTCTTCAGCTCATATACAATGGTAAACAGTATGTTTTCTCTTTAATAATGTTTTTAGGTTTTTGTACATCCTATAATACCTGTGGGATAGAGATTAGCCATTTATGTGTCTTGGCTAACTGGGGAACTGTGGTGGGCTGGAGGAGATAGTTATTACCTCCCAGGCTTATAAAAAGGCTATGAGTTGTAGATACTACTTTAATCCAGATCAGAAAGACCTATGGAAAGCCTTATGAATTAGGCTGATCCACAGTTGTAAAGCTAGAACATGGTGTTTTTATATCTGGGCCCTCCTTGCCACGGGTCTAGTGAATAATTATAATGATGTTGGTAACTTGGGGCTACTGAGCCTTTCCTTTAAGGAGTAGTCATTTATTAGGACTACCCAGAGCACATTGTTTTTTCCAGGATGTCTTCTGAAACAGTATTTGACCTGGGGCAGAATCTATTATTTTGTGCCAACTGTGGAGAGATATGTGTATTCGGTATGAAAAGTCACCGATCTATCCTCTAAACATTTCGAGATCTACCAAATGATACATTTAAATTGTTGAACAAAATTTATTGAGTATTTATGTGCCTAGGAACTGGGTCTCAAAGATGAGTGAAACCCCAGTCCTGCTTACAAGGAGATTTCAGTCTAGTGGAAGGAGACACATTGAACCGTAATTCCTTGCATCATTAATTATTCTTAGTGTAGGAGGTAAGAGAAGGCTCCACTGAGAGGAAACACTTGGTCTGAGATTTGAAGAATGAGTAGAAGTTTGCAAATGTTTGGAAAAGACATTTTAGACAGAGCGTATAACTTGTATAAAAGCATGAAGACATGAGAGAGTATTGCCCTTTCAGGGAACCGCAGGTGGCTCTGTAGGGGCGAGAGCATATAGTATATGATGAAGAGTGATAAGAGGTGAGGCTGGAGCCCAGGCTCCAGGTGATAGGAAAGGCATTGTACAGAAACAGGGAGGAGCTGTAAACAGAAGGAAGACATTGTGTAAATATTTGCATTTGGGATAGAGGTAGGGGGCTGAAAAAGCCTGGTGACAAGGATACCTGTTAGCAAGCCTACACCGGGTTTTGGACTTGAACTGGGTTGTGCCAATGGGGATAGTAGGTAAGAGTAAGATTTGAAGAAAACTTAAGAGGTCGAATGGGTAGGAGTTTATGAAAAATTGAATTTGGGGAATAAAGTCATGAATTTAAGATACCATCCAGGTCTCTGTCTTGAGTTAGTGAGGATGTTGGTGTGATTCACTGAGGTAAAGGAAGGAAGGGTATGTGCAGATATGCAGAAGTGATGCTGAGTTCAGGTAAAGTGTTGATAATCACTCTGAGTGAATCTAATTTGGCAAATATGGCTATCAACGAGCCCACTACCTTTAATTAAGCCATGCCAAACGGCCTGACATGATAGGAAGTTTTATACACTCCAAAGAAGAGGGTGCCAAAATTTCTGACAACTTTAGAGTTATCTGAGTTATCCTCCTAAATTTTCTGTATCTTCTCGATATCCATTGTTATAGTGATTGTGCAAGTTGTTATTTATGGTCAGTTATGACATAACTTGAATGGCTTTTGTATTTTATGAAGATATGAGTATTTAAAAAATGTTCTAGATGAGTGGCCTCATGCAGAGTTTGGCACAGTTCCTCAGGCAGTGTGTGGATGGATTGAAAATGAGCATCTTATCCCATATCGATTCTGGTGTTGCTTCCATTCCTCTCTGGAAAATACTGCCTGCAGGGGAGAAGCGGTGTCGTGCTATATGTAGTCCCACCCTTTTTGACCTGAAGTGTTGCCACTTTGCTTGGCTGCCCACCTTCTTCAGACTTAGCTCTGAATCACTTTTGGCTCTTTCTCAAAGCTAAATCAAATGCACTCTCAAAGAATGGTGATGTTCCTATACCTGAGGAGGTCTTCAAGTGTGTGCTCTAGAAATGTTAAAAAGTATTTAAAATTTTTTTGGAGGTTTTGGTGGTGGGCTACAATAATCAACCACATTGTATATCGACAAAATAAAATTAAAAGGAAAAAAATTTTTTTTCATATGTTCAGTGGCAACATCACATCACTGGAATAAGTGAAGGGCTTTTCAGAGAACCACTTTGAAATTCTTTTGTATATATATAAAAAATTTGGTATTTATTTAAATTAAATAAAATTTGATATTTAAATTTAAATAGGGCTGGCCAGTTAGCTCAGTTGGTTCAAGTGCAGTGTTGTAATACCAAGGTCAAGTGTTTGGATCCCCTTACTGGCCAGCTGCCAAAAAAAAAAATTGACATACCAGCTGCCCAAAAAATAAATAAGTAAATTTCAATAAATTTTGTGATTTTATGGTATCAAGCTTTATAATAATTGCTTTAAATAAACTTTTTATATGCTATTAAACTTTAATTTTATTAACAAACACCAGTATGTATAACTTCTTGTTACTGACCCTTTAAGAATTGTTCTGAATCTTATGTTGTTCTGAATCCTATGTTAATTTTAATCAAAACTGCATATGGATGTTTTAGGAACAGCTAGAAACTTCCAGGAGGGAAATGATTGGGCTTCAGGAAAGAGACAGGCAGTTACAGTGCAAGAATAGAAATTTACATCAGCTACTGAAAAATGAGAAAGATGAGGTAAGTTGTGAGTTATTGCTGATGTGAATTTTGTTTTTTTGTCATCTGCGACGACCACAAGAGCTACTTCACTGTAAAACAGAAAGAACCATTTATTCATCCTGCATCAAACTGGTATGGTGGAATCAGCTACTGAAAAATGAGAAAGATGAGGTAAGTTGTGAGTTATTGCTGATGTGAATTTTGGTTTTTTGTCATCTGCGACGACCACAAGAGCTACTTCACTGTAAAACAGAAAGAACCATTTATTCATCCTGCATCAAACTGGTATGGTGGGCCTCTGTGTACAATATTGTATCATATTTAACTGAGAGATCAGGAATGCTCCCCGCCACAGCCCTCCAGCCCCTGCCCCCAGTGGATCCATTTACCAGTTCATAGCTGGTAACAACCAGTGTCCTGTACTGTTCTTCCTGAACTCACGTTCACTGTCACTTTTTCTCAGAGGTGAGGTTGCTTTAAACTCAGATCTTTTATTCTCTACTGTACCTGTACTTAATGCCTAACATCCTCCTCCTTGCGCTGTCTTAAATATTGACGTTGTTCAGTCACACACTTACTTGATTAAATGGGCATAGGAGCGATTCACATTAAAAATCTCATTTGTAGTAAACACTTAACCAAAAAAACTCATTTCTGGGGCAAAAAATTTCATAATTTTAATTTTTGCTGTAGTGGTTATTTAGTATTTGGACCTATAGAGTTAATGCATTTGAAAATATTTTTTAATTTATGTAAGAAGAAACCATTATGTTTTTATTGCTCTGCAGTATGGTCTCTGATTAGTAAGTGGGTAATTAAGTATCAATTGCAGGGTTGCTTATACATATTTCCTTGAGTTATTTCACAGAAAATTTTGACTTGATCTGTTGATTACACTTAAATGGTTTGAATATAGGTCATCTTTGATAGTGATTAAGTTAATCATGTTAATCACTAACAGGGATTGAGAATGGCTATGTAGAGTAGAACATACTTCCTATCAAGAGCTGCCTGAGATGCCATAGTAGATATAAACTTTGAATAGCAGTGCCTGGCACAGTAGGTGCTCAGCAAGTGTTTGAACTGGATTCTATCTGCTGCTTGGACTTATTCTTATTTGAGAACTGTTTTTGATCAGAGAAAAATGAGCCTGTTTACCTACTGTCATGTGCCACTTGATAATTCACCTTGTCATCACAGATTGATAAAATAATTGCAAGTCAGTAGTATAAGGAAGTCTAAAAACAATCACATAAATTCTGTTTGTTTCAGACAAAGGTTTAATCATTTTAATACTTCCGTAAGAGTTTCTGGTTTCTAAATTATCAGAGTTCGTATGTAAAGTAAAAGGTATACAAGATAATTTAGAAAGTTAGCACCTTTGGAAATTTTAGAATTAAAAAAAAACTTTATGTGATTCATTTAATGGTATTTTTAAAAGTTATTTCCACTGGTTACAGAGAAAGAAGAAGCATTCTAGAATTATAAAACTATTCTTCAGGGAAATGAATACTAGACTTCTTTTTGCTTTTGAATTTGTAAATTTTAACTAGGTTTAGCAATCCTAAGGGGACTCATTTGATGGAAAATGCTCTTTTCAGGTACAAAAATTACAAAATATCATTGCAAGTCGAGCTACTCAATATAATCATGATATGAAGAGAAAAGAACGTGAATATAATAAACTAAAGGAACGTCTGCATCAACTTGTTATGAACAAGAAGGATAAAAAAATAGGTAAGCAGTTGGCTAAGATACAGTAAAGGGCATAAATAAGCTGTTATGCTAAGAAATGTAAAGGGACTGATTACAATAACTCATGTTATTTTCATGCTTTATACAATTGATTTCTAGATGATGTATGTCATATAAGCTTGAAATTGAGACAACTGGGTAGTGAAAAGTCATTTTGCTTTGCTTCATTAGTTGCATAATTTTTTAACATGGCAAGTGTAAGATTAATCCATAGAGAAAAACTAAGCCAGAGGACACTCTAATCTTCCATAGCAAAGAACTGATGATACAAAAATCAGAAGTATCTGAGTATCAAAAGAAATATGATTTTAGAGTTAACTTCATAAAATTATTCATCAGACCAAATCGCTCATTATCAATTTGAGTTCTTTTAAATAAGTTTAGCTGTGTGTTTTTGAAACAGGTAGTCAAAAGAATGGACTGTGAAAGTTATGCCCATGTGTGTATCTAAGGTATACTTTTTTCTAGTATTAGTCTTTTGAAAACTTTAATTTACAACTGCTTCATCAAGTATGTTTATAATTTCAAGTAAATAGTATAGATTAAAAAGTAAAACTACACATATACAAAAGTCGAGCTGCGTACAATTTTGGCTGGCCTGGTATAATTAAGGAAACAGGAAGTCTGTGCCTAATTTATTGAAGAGTGGTTTCCAAGTGGATTATAGGCTGTCCTCTAACCTATATTATACAGTGATACCCCTAAACTGTGTTTCCTAAACTGAACTTGAACTTGGCATACAGCAGCTGATGAGCAGATGTTTCAGGCTGTCACATGGGTCTGCCTGCTCTTAGCAAGCGGTTCAGTGTTGACTGCACCACTGTCATCCTGTACAGCAGAGCCGTTGCAGGTATTCAAATATTTTATTTTAAAGATTATTGAAAAATAGAAAATGGAGGTGCAATAATAAGCAATTAAGACAAGGTTGGAAATCAAGTACTCTGAGTTAATAAATCTTATTCATTTGGACACTCATTAGTTTTTAAGGTTGGTTAGCCTCATGTTCACTCATGAAGGAAAGAACAAAATTAAAGAGCAGGATGAAATGCTGGAAGTATAAAATGTAACATTTAAGCTAGAGAAATTTATTAAATATTTAACTTGGAGACAAAGCCCTTCTATTATAGTTGGTCCCAATTTATGATGGTCCAACTTACAATTTTTTGATTTGACGATGGTGCAAAACTATTGTGTTTTTCACTTTCGGTACAGTATTCAGTAAATTACATGAGGTATTTAACACTTTATTATAAAATAGGCTTTGTGTTAGGTGATTCTGCCCAAGTGTAGGCTAATGTAAGTGTTCTGAGCGTGTTTATGGTAGATGAGTCTAAGCTATGATGTTTGGTAGGTTATGTGTATTAAATACATTCTTGGCTTACAATATTTTCAAACTTGCGATGGAGTTATTGGGACTTAACCCTATTTTAAGTTGAGGAGAATCTGTATAGGGGTTTTGCTGTTTCCTGTTTCAAACCCAATTGAAAGTGACATTTTTATAGTGACTTCATTAGCTCTAAAATTACAATTACTTACTCTCATCTTATTTCATTCTTACACCAGATGCTTCCATTCCCACCTGTGGCAGAAGGGACGTTACTAGTGTCAGCGGCCTTGACTCCTTTGATAATGATAATGATGATGATAGGGCTTGGAAACTTCTTCTGTAAAGGTGCAGATAGTAAATATTTTTGGCTGTGTGAAGTCTATAGTCTTTTGTTGCACCTACTTATCTCTGCCATTTTAGGAAAAACCTTGCCATAGACAATATGTAAACAAATGGATTTGGCTGTCTTCCAGTAAACCTTTGTTTACAATATCAGGCAACTGGCCTGAAGGCAGTAGTTTGCCAACCCCAGATAACAAAATTAATAATGATAATAAAATAACATTTATTAAGGACTTACTGTGTGCCAGATACTGTGTTCATCTCTCTGTGTTAAGTGCATTCAACCTTCACAGCAACTCTTTGGTAGATATTCCCATTGTATTGCTGATCAAACAGATTTAGCAGTTAAAGTAACTTGCTGGGATCTCTGTGTTTACACGTGGTGGAACTAGAACTTTAAATTAGGGCTGTTTGAGACCAAATCCTAACCTATATAACAGGTTGACTTATGTCCCTAATGTTTATAGAGTACATTAGAATTTTAAACACTTAATACATATGGTAAGAATTGGTTTTGTTTTGTGTGTTCATGTTTGTAGCTATGGATGTTTTAAATTATGTGGGGAGAGCTGATGGAAAAAGAGGCTCCTGGAGGACTGGTAAAACTGAAGCCAGGTAAAGTCCAATTTCAATTGATAAATTTAATCAGACTTTTCTTTTTATACTGCATTTCATACTGACAGTTTCTTTCTTAGGAATGAAGATGAAATGTATAAAATTCTCTTGAATGATTATGAATATCGCCAGAAACAAATCCTGATAGAAAATGCTGAACTTAAGAAGGTTCTTCAGCAGATGAAAAAGGAGATGATTTCTCTTCTTTCTCCCCAAAAGAAGAAACCTAGAGAAAGAGTGGATGATAGTACAGGAACTGTAAGTGGCTCTTTCCTGTCTAATACAGTCTTTGATTGCTAATTAGAACAATTAAAATACTAGATAGGTGTTCTCAAGGGGGAAACTATTAGTATTTTGAACAGGATACTCACTGCTGGCTACCCCAGCCACTGTGATGACCAAAGAAGTGTCCCTATGTGTTTCCAGACACACCCTGAGAAATGATGGAGATGATTTTTCTGGGGACTTAATTCATGGCAGCCACTATGATAAACACTTTATAAGCATCGTCTTATTTTATTCTTGAAAGGATGCACGGATGAAGGAGGCATGCGAGACCCGGGCTGACAGTTCACCAGAGAAGTTCCGCTTTATTCAAGGACTGCGCGTATATTTATAGGGAGCTGCGTTCCGGGTTTGGATAGGAGGTGGACGGGGCGGTAGCTGATTGGACAGGGTTGGGCGGGAGGTGGGCTTTGACCTGTGACTGGTTGAGGTTTGGCACCGGCAGGCTTGTTTACTGCGGAGAAGAACCCGGAAGGGTGCCATATTGCCAGGGAGTGCCATCCCCCTCCCCCTCTGCTTGAGTGCCCACGGTATCCCTACATTCCTCCCTTTTTCCTCTGTTGTGGGAATGGGTCGTCGTAATCTTCAAGCTACTTCCTGCTGGACGGGGGTGTAGTAGGGGAAGAGGAATTGGGAGGAGATAGGAGACCTTCTATTAGGCCCCAAAGAAGAGTAGAATATACAGTAATTTCAAGGGGGGAGAACTCTAGAAATGTTCCCTGAAGCCACAGGTCGGTTATTTGTTGAGTCCAGTGTGTGTAGGAGGCTGTAGGGGAGAGCATCCAGGCGTTCGCAGCCAAAACCTCCAGGAACAGGGACCAGTGGTGATGTAGATCCATTTAATAGCGGGTTAGCCAATCCGATGAAGAGCGGACAGGGTCTTCCGTGGCCAGCAGTTGGTAATTCCTGAGTAAAAGCTGGTTGAAAGTCTGGTTAGAGATTTTACCAATTTGAGACTGGATGAACTTTATAATGCAGGGTAAAAAAAGACAGGTTATGAGTATTATGGTTACGGGCCCTAATATTGGCCATATCCAGGTGAGAAGTGAGCCTTGGAAAAAAGAGGAGAAAGGATCAGGGCGGTTAGCTCGGAGGTCTGAGGCTAGGTTGGTGAGTTTGACAATATTGGTTTCTACTAGCCCCGATTGATTGATATAATAGCAACATTCTTCCTGGAGGAAGATGCAAGTGCCGCCCTTTTCTGCCATGAGGAGGTCTAGTGCTCGGTTTTGTAAGGTAGCTTTAGCTAGGGAGGTGATTTGTCTTTGTAAGGCAGATAGAGATTCAGCTGTGGAGGTGAGGGCCTTTTGTAGTTTGTTATTAATGTCCTTTACCGCCCATAGAGTATGTCCCAAGGCCCCTCCCGACAGGCTGGTTACAACAATTGATGTTGTTAAGGACATTCCCACTAGGACTGAGAGAAAGGCGGCTCGACGCTGTCTTGGGAGTGGATGGAAAAGGTGAAAAAGTTCTGCGCGGGAATAGAAAGTTAGTTAGTTGGGAATAGAAACTAGTTAGACAGTAACTAGGTAGCAGGGGACGGAGGTATTAGGAAAGATAAAAGTGGAAAGGGTTCCGTTACACCAAAAAAAGGTGCCCAGTGGGGATGTTGTGTGGCTTGTGATGGTGGAATTTTTAGTGCAATAAAATTAAGAATGGGGTGAGGGGGTGGATGATCCCAGAAAACAGTGATAGGACACTAAAGTGTGGTTGGGGGTGTTATCGGGGTCCCATAGAGGAACATTGGGAAGGCTGAGGGGTGTAGAGGAGGAGTTGGAAGGGAGTGAGGTAATGTTTACAGGGACAGCAGCCAGAAGTGGGCGCAGCAAAGATGCACAAAGGAAACAATCGTTAGGAGGGGTGGAGTTGAAGAAAGTCCGGTTAAGGAAGATAACAGTTTCAGAAATAA